AAGCTGTGTGCTGGAAAAAAGAGAACAGAGTCAGAGAGACACCATGTAGCCCCTCCAGAGACAAATGCAAGAACTTTAGCCAGTAAGCTACAGCCACATGACCACATGCAGATAGAAATGGGTTAAATTAATATGTAAGAGTTATCCAATAAGTAGCTAGAGCTAATGGGCCAAGCAACCTTTAATTAATACAGTTTCTGTGTGATTATTTTCGTTTTGGGCAGCCAGAACGAACAAGTGGCCTTTCTGTTAGAGATTGCATATGAAAAAGAACACGTAGTGTTTGTCTTTTTAGGCCTGGATTATCTCAGTCAGTATAATATTTTCCAGTTCCATTCATTTACTTGCAAATTTCCTAATTTCATTTTTTCTTTATAGCTTAACAAAGGTCTTTATGCATACACAAACAACATATATATATGTGTGTGTGTGTGTGTGTGTGTATATATCTACTACAATTTCTTTATTTGTTCATCAGTTGATAGACATCTAGGCTAGCTCCATTTCCTAGCTGCTGTGGATGGAACAGCAGGGAATGCGATTGGGAAATTATCTCTGCCATAGGATTTACCTTTTGGGTACCTGCTTCAGTATGGTTGGTATACCTGGATCACATGACAGATCTATTTTTAGCGTCTTGAGAAAGGCTCACACTGATGGCTGTCGTGGCTGCACAAAATTACTTTCCTACCCACAGTGAAGAGGGTTTCCTCTCCTCCACAATCTCCCCACCATTTGTTTTCACTTGTTCTCTTGGTTCTAACTCAGGTAGGATGAACAGAAGACACATAGACAGAAGGACTTCCCACACCACAGATCCTAGTGTTGAATTCTTCTTTAATTTGGAGTAACTATGAAAACCAAGAAGCTATGCAGAGGTCCTAGGGAAGGGGTTGGAAAGTTTTAGCAGGGAAGGGGTGGGGAGAAGGACTAACCAAAACTGTGGATATACGAAAACCCTTATCCCAACCTACTATTTTGTGAATGTGTGTGTGTGTGTGTGTGTGTGTATTAAAAAATAATTAAAAGATTAAAAGAGGCATCTGGCAGGTGGATAATGCTTCTGCCAAGCAGTTTTAATTTGCATCTCCCTGATGTCTAGTTTTATGTCAACTTGACACAAGTTAAAGTCATCTGAAAGGAGGGAACCTCAGTTGAAAAAGTATTTCCATAAGATCTGGCTGCAAGGCATTTTCTTCATTAGTGATTGATGGGGAAGGGCCCAGGCCAATGTGGGTGGTTCCATTCCTGGGCTGGTGGCCCTGGGTTCTATAAGAAAGCTGGTTGTGCAATCCAGGAGGAGTAAACCAGTAAAGTAACACTCCTCCATGTCTTCTGCATCAGCTCCTGCCTCCAGGTTCAAGCCCTGTTTGTTGTCCTGCCCTGACTTTTTTCAGTGATGGATTATGATGTGGTTATGTAAGCTAAATGACCCTTTCCTCCCCAACTTGCTTTTGGTCATGGTGTTTCATTACAGCAATAGTAATCCTAACTAGGGCCCCCTATACTTCAAGTCTTATTGAAGAAGTATTTTGTCTTCCTTCCTTCCTTCCTTCCTTCCTTCCTTCCTCTCTCCCTTCCTTCTCTTTCTTTCTTTCTTTCTTTCTTTCTTTCTTTCTTTCTTTCTTTCTTTCCAAAAAAGTAACAGGGGATGTACTCAGAGGTATGCATTGCACAGGCAAGTGGTGAGTTCATTGGTGCTTAATAAACCTGGCTGAAAACAAAGTCTACGTTTCTTTCTTTCAGGGTTTTATGCTTTTCTTCCCCTGTTGAGCTACATATTATGTCTAAAATGTTTTTATTTTCCTCACTGCAAAAGACTAAAGGCAATAGCAGAAGCATTTATAATTACTATAAGGATTGCTGTTTCGACATAATAATGTGAGATTGGTAAACAGAGTTTGCTGATATAAATACACAGTGGGAGATTTTATCTCTTAATGTGTAACCCAGAAAAGAGTGTTACGAAAAGCTAACAATGATCATTTTGTACCTAGGCACTTCTGCCCTGCTTCCATTTCTGTTGCTGTGCTAGGGGAAAGGTGCTTATTTTAGCTTACAATTTCAGGTTGCAGTCTGTCATTGCAGTTAAATCAAGGCAGGAACTTCAAACAATTAGTCACATCCACAGTCATGAGCAGAGAAAGAGTAAATGCAGGCATACCCACTGTTCAGGCATGCTCACTTTCTCTACTCTATGCAACTCAGGACTCAGACCTAGGAAACCATGCTGACCACTTTTAGGCTGAGTCTTTCCACATCACTTAACAATCAAAACAACCCTTCAGTGACATGCTCACAGGCCTCTGTGATCTGCAGGATCCCTAATTGACACTCACCACCATATGTCCTTTTCCTTTCTTTCTTTCCTTTTTTCCTTCCTAACTTTCTGCTTTGATAAATTCCTTATTATGTTTTTTTTACTTAATTTTTATGACATAATTTGGTCAAATAAATTAAAGTAAAGAAGAACATGGACACAAATATAAATGCTATACAGATCAAGACATAAAATTTGTGATCTGATTATTACCCTCTGGGTTCCTCGACGGTCACATTCCAGCCCCCTTTTTATCCCTTAGAAGTAACCATCTTATTGCTTGTGGTTTTAGCATGTGTGTACATCATGTGTTATCTGCAAAATGTGACTGTGTGTTTGTGAAAAAATGACTATGGAAGAGCTGACTGTTTTTAATAACACGACGAAAGTGATTTTGATTTGGAATCACCAATCATGACATGTACTTGTGGTTGTGTATTAGGCTCCCTTTTCATACACATCTAAACTCTTTCCCATGGGCTTTGTATAAACTTAGATTCTCACCAACAGTTCAGAGTTCTTTTAATAAAATTAATTTATTATTTTATGTGCATGAGTGTTTTGCTTGTATATATGTGTTTATGCCCCATATGTGCCTAGTGCTCACAGAGAACAGAAGGCATTAGATCCCCTGGAGTTGGAGTTACAGAAAATTGTGAGCTTTTGTGTAGATGCTGAGATTTGAACCTGGGTCCTCTGGAAGAGCAGCCTGTGCTCTTAACTGCTGAGCTGTCTCTCCAGTCCTGAGTTCTTAGTTTTTTATACCAAACAGACTCTTGGGATTACTGGTCTTTTAAATACGTCCCTCTGATCTCATGGTTTTGTATAATGCTTTTAATTTTATTTCCATGATTACCAGCAAAGGTGAACCTTTTTTTAAAAAGCACATTTCTTATCGTTTAGAGATTTTTTATCTTTGATACATTGTTTGAGAATTTCATACATGAATATAATGTTTATCTCTGTCCCCTACTCCCTCCCTGCCAACTCCTACCTTGTGTCTTCTACCATCTTTTTTCTTCCAAGTTCATGTATTCTTTTAAATGTTCTGAATCCATTTAGTGCCTTCTGCTTGTGTATGGACAACCTGTTAGTGCTCACATCCTAAGCCAGTAGATTGTTCTTGCCCCAGTAGCCATCAATTGCTGTAGTTCTCAGCTAAGACTGGGACTTTGTGGACCCCTCCCTCATCCATCCACATCCCAGTCAGCTTGAATTTTGCTGGCTTGATCTTGTGTGTTTAGTCAAGGTTACTGTGAGTTCATGTATACGATCTCATGACCAGAAAAGAACTATTTCATAGCAAATCCATTTATAGGTTTTAGTTTATGAATGGTTATTGTGTTAATCCAGTTTTGTCTTTTAATTTTTAAACATATTTTAATTATTTTATTATATATTTTCATATATATTTTGATCGTATTTGTTTTCCTCCCTGACTTCTTCCAGCACCCTCACTCCACAATGCCTTCCTAAATACCCAACTTCATGTTTTATCTCTTAAAAAATAAAAACCACCCCAAAACCAAAAAACAAAGCCAACACAAACCACAAAAAGCACACACACACATACACTCACACACACTCACATGCATATACATAGTCACACACATACACACATTCACATATACAAATTCACACACACACACACACTCATACATACACCCTCCCCCCCGACACACCCTTGGAATCTGCTTTGTGTTGCCCTGACTCCTGACCATGAGGCCCACCCTGGAATTCATTTTTATATAAAGAATAAGACAATTATATCTTTCTCTGGCCAAATGACAAGTAAGCGATCCCTGTAGCGTTTTTTTAAGGAGTTCTGGTTTTGAAAGATATGGAAATTGCAAGGTAGAAATTTGTTTTCTGAATATTAATACTCAACCATGGCTATTACAACCAGTGAGTGCTCACAGGACTTAAGGCAAAGCTGCAAAGGTCTTTTGTAAAATAAAGCTACTTAGATTGTCTTGAAACCCATTCAGAAGCAATGGGCTATTTTGTTGTTGTTGGGTAGTACAAGAGTCCAAATCCAGAGCCCCTTTGTGCTAGGCAAGGACTCTACCACCGAGCTCTACTGTCAAGCCTTGTGTTGATTGATGGTTGGTTCATTCGTTCAGATAAGGTCTCATTAAGTAGGTCAGGCTGGCATTGAACTTGCAATTAATCCTCCTGATTCAGCGTCCCTAGAAACTGTAATTACTTGGAATTATGGGCCTGTGTCACCAGGACTGGACCAAAATCCTGGTTATACACGGAAGTTAATACCACTAGATTTCCCAGGGGTAATTGCTGTTTTTGTTTGTTGGTTTGTTTGTTTGTTTTGTAGTATTGGGGATTGCGCCTAAGGTCTTGTGTATACCGCATACTTTATCATTCAGTCACATTCTCAACCACAATAAGTGTATAGTATGATGAGAAGATTTTAGTTAGAAAACAGCAGGTAGTTTGTAAAGACACTGAAAATGATTCTGGCCCATGGCAACGATGAATTTTATATAATCTTCATCAGAAAAGAGAAAAGAGAGGTATATTAAAGTAACACTGAGGGTTGAGAGCTACATTACGTAAGTGGACCAAGGAGAGTTAATAAACTATTCTGACAAACATTGACGTTAGATAGTATACCAAAAGTAAGTAGTATTTTTAATGAAGAAGCATAATTAATGAACAGAATTACGTGAAGAAAATACAATTTGGAGAAAGAACTAAGAGCATTATATTAAATTGTACAGTCCTTTTAACGCCAGAGAAAGCTTCTTACGGTCAGTCTTGTGAGCTCTCTGATACCTGGAATGTGAGAGTCGAGCGAGAAGGTCGCAGTGACTTTTCCTGTTCGGAAATAACAGAGCTATGAGGAGAATGACCAGGAAACGTTTGGCTCAGGCAGGAACACAGACTTCTGCTGAACATCTTGTTTGTACCTGTTCTGTCAGGAGTCCTTCTTCACAGAATTCGAAGTGGGGTTTTCTGCATTTCAAGAGTTCTAAATGCAGGAGGGTGTGGGGACAGAGAAGGATTATAGAACTTCCTTGTTGCCTGCACACACTTCTTCATGCCTGCTATAACCTGCGACCCAGGGAATGCACACCAGGCTCCTGAGGGGAAGCCGGTGGGAGCGAGTTGGAAAACTCTCCCTCAGTGACCGTCACATGTCCTTTTCATCATCCCCTATCTTACTACTCACGCCATTCTGGAAAATCGCTGCTTTGGTGCCAGGAGTTAGGGCCATGAACAGGATTCCTCTGTACCGATTGAGACATGCTGTTAAATCTTTAGGAATTTATGCTGTAGAAAATTTTTGAGGTGGAAACTGCAGTCTTTGGTGCCTCAGGATATATGTCAGAGGTTTCCTTTGACTTAAGAGCTGTCTTAAATAGGGTTTACCCGACCTTGTGAATACATGGAGACCAAGGGCACATACAAATGTTTTCCTGGTTGTCTTAGGAACCCTAAGTGTGTGCTTCTGCCAGAGCCACTTCGTTCTCACTGAGGCAGTGCAGAGCAGAGTGAACTGGATGCTGAACATTCCAGCTTATCCAGCTAAGGGTAATAGATGTATTAACAATCAACTCACTTACAGGATACTCTTAGAAATGCAGGCTGGGACTTCTAGATGCAAACTGCAGTCACGCTGACAGTTTCCTTGTTTTAGTAATGACAGTTAATGATTTTGCCTCATGTATAGTTCTTTTTGTCACCTAGTGCCTTTAGTTCAAATAATTTAGATCTCAGATACTTAAACTCTCTCTCCCTCTCTGATACACACACACACACACACACACACACACACACACACACACACACAATAGGAAAAATGTACCAAGTTTTGAGATTTTTCTATAACAGTGCCATTCAGACCTCTTCCATGAGAAAAAATAAAATAAAATTAAGCTTCTCATTTCTATGCTACTGATTCATATATATTTATTTATATAATGCATACATAGTTAAATTTCAAACATATAACATATGTTGTTCATATTTGTCTTCCACTCCTTTCCTCCAGCTTCCCCTGACCCTCAACATTTCTCCTCCCCCACATTTATGTCATTTAGAAAAATGTATTAAGTTGAGTTAGTTCTGCCCAAATGCGCATTGTGTGAGGTCCTCCACTGAGGCATAGGCAACTAGCAATGGCTTTTCCCAAGATTTATTTTTGTTTTAAATTATTATTATGTGTATGTGTGCATGTGTGTGTCTATATTTGAGTGTGTGCACATGAGTTCAAGTACCTGCAGAGAGCAAGAAACGGCCAACAGATCCTATAGAATTGGAGTAACAGATGGTTGTGAACTGGCATGTGGGAGCTGGGAACTGAACTCAGACCCTTGAGCTCAGGACAGCACTTGTTCTCAACTACTGAGCCATCTCTCTAACCCTAATTCATTCATTTATTCTTTGCTTTAAAAGTTAGTATGTGGAACAATGGGGTTCATTATAATATTTCTCACATATGTGCCATTAAACTCTCTCTTGATTTGTTCCCTTCCCCACATGCTAATGACTTTAAATAATAGTTTGCAATATGCAGCTTTTTTGATATAACATTGAATATTTTATACTATGCTTTATGTACGGAAAGAAAGGAGAACATTGGAAGCAGTCACTTTAGTCAGGCTGAGCTGAAGTGCACTTCAGAGACAAAGGGCGTACAAAGTTTCTGATTGTTAATAGTGTTCTGCATATCTGTCAGTTTCCCGGGGTGACTTGTTTTAAGTCATGACTCAGGATGCTGTCATCTCAGCATTAGTTTTTCATGTTAATTGAGACACAGGCCCTTTTTTGTGTGTGCTTTCCAGTGGCTGAACCTGGAAGGGACACGCACGACTGCTTCTCACACTTTCTTTGATCAGAGCTACTAACATAGCTTACTTATAGCCAGTGGGATGAGGATTGTGAAGTACACGGTGGTTGGTGAGATCTGTAGGTGTGTTTGTGCTTCAGATATTACAGCATTGTGACCAAGAGAAGGGAATAAAAGAGAGAGACATTTGCGGAGTCAACAACTTAGATTCATTGCCTGTGTGTGCACATGTGTGTGTGCATGCCCATGTTCCTGTAGGTGCATGCCCATGCATGTGGAAGTCCGAGGTTGCTGTCTAGTGGTTTTCCTTCAAAGACTGGTCTTCACACGCATGTGTACCTACATGCACGTGTGCCTGTAGCAGCCGTTTTCAGGACAATTCTCTTTCCAGCCTCAGACATTTAGGCCACTCTTTCATTTTCTGGTGTTGGAATTTTCCACTTGTGATCTTAAAGGTCACCATGGAAACCAAAAGCCAACACTGTGTGGAAAAATCGGTGGCTACTGAAACCCTTTGTTCTGTGAGCAATACATGTTCATCTATATTATTTGGACCTAAACTGATTACATTGTTCCAGTTAGAGGAAGGCCTTTGTGCTGGGAAGTTACACTGATGCTCCTGAGTAAACACACGCCCAGCACAGCAGCCTGTGTGCTGGCCCGGATCATTCCCTGGCCTGTTGCTGTGGTACACTCGTTAGCTCAGCACCTAGACTCTCTGAAGTCAGGAAGCATTATGACATTTCTGATAGCTGATAAGGGATAAGCTGATATTACTGCCAAAGTGAAGAATAGGAAGTGTTCCTGTCCTGTGATAAGCAAAGGCCGCTCTTTGAAGAATGAGCCCGCTAAAGAGCTACTGTATGGAATTGCATGTAGCTAAATTTTGTGCCTAACACATTGATTTTTGTAAAAAAGAATACTGCTTTGGAAGTCTTCCTGTCTGCTTATTTATTTCATGAAGAAAATCATGCCTCTTTCCTCTTAGCCTTTTTTTTTCACATCAGAGAGTTACTTTATGATTAGGTTTTCATATAAACCTAAAAATTAACACATGGTTATGAGAACAGGCCCAAAAAGTATATATAATACATTTCTTTCCATTTGACTTTTTTCATTTAAAAGACTTTTCCTTACTTGCTATAAATAATGATTCAATTGTCAGAAGACATTATTTTGAAGGTGTTGTATTTATGATGAAAGAAAATCATGACCTCTTCCGTGTAGAATTAGAGTGTCATATTGCTACCATGGAAGCATGGTGGTTTTCCTGGGCACTCCTGCTCTCTCTTTCTCTCTCTCCTGATGTATTTATGAGACAGATTTTGGTACATGGTCTAGGTTGGTCTTGAACTTGTGATCCTCTGGTTTCAGGCTCCCAAGTGTTGGGATTATAGACATGTGCCACTATGTCTGGCTTCACTGGATTTTCAATGTTTCAGCATAGATATGACATTGCTGCAGTTGGTCTAAAACAGTAGTTCTCAAGTTTTCTAATGCTGCAACCCTTTAAGACAATTCCTCATGTTGTAGTGGCCCCAACCATAGAACTATTTTTGTTGTTACTTCATAACCCTAATTTTACTATTGTCATGAATTGTAAGTAAATATTTGATACGCAGGATATCTTATATATGACCCCCGTGACAGAGGGTAGTGACCCAGAGGTTGAGAACCACTGGCCTAAGCGTTGCTCTCCTTGCAGGATGTGCTGTTACTGATCCGAGGTGCTGCTTGTGGAAACAAATGAAGCGTTCTCCACCACATGAGTATTTACCGTAGCAGTCCTGCTGCTTCTGATCGGATATTTGCTTCTCAGAGTCTGAGAATCAAACAGTTCCCAGACTGGACTTAGTGTTGGTTACGTTTGTTACAAGTCAGCGGCTCTCGTTTCCCTAATGCTACAGCTCTTTATTTATAATTTTGTCCTCAACAATTAATCCCAAAGCATGCACTCAATTCTACAGTGGCTGAGTCAACCCTTGCCCTTGCCTACAAGAATCTAGCCTTTTTACTCAGTTTAAATGACCAGTTGAAGCCATTGAACTATGGAGAGGGCTCCAGTGATAAGAAATATTCTAATTCTGTTGAGCACCACAGTAAGAACTGGTTGAAGTGACCCGTCTCCAAGATAGTTGTGTCTTCCACATGATAAGGGATGTATAACAGGGAAGACTTTTTATTAAGTTCTAATTATCTATTACCCTACAATATTGATTTAGGTTTTCTATCCTAATTCTTTTATTTCTAGATCACTATTCTTTAGAAATTTCAACACTCATGCAACTATTTAAATTAAGAAAAATATTCTTCTATTTTTATTATCTCCAGACATAAATTTATCATACCTAGTTTTAAAAGCCTTCCAGATATATCTCAATGAGCTGAAGTATAAATACGTATTTCAGAGAGGTTCTTACAGATGGTCTCAGACATTAACCTAAGGAAAACAGAGGAAATTGCCAGGTGGAAGTGTGGGGATAGTTCCTGGTCTCTGATTGGACTGTTGAGTGCTTAAGGAGGGTGAAATGCAGTTGGTGACTTCCAAGAGGTTATGGCAGGTTTGAGGAATGGTTTAGAGCAGTGGTTCTCAACCTGTGGGTCATGATCCCTCCAACAAATATTTACATTATGATTCATAACAAAAGCAAAATTACAGACATTAAGTAGAAAGGAAAATAACGATATAGCTGGGGAATCTATTCCTTACAACACGAGGAACTGTATTAAAAGGGTCTCATTATTAGGAAGATTGAGAACCACTGGTTTAGAGGAAGTTCGCTGCCTGGTTCCAGGTTTCAGTGAGGACAGCATAAGAAGCAATCCTGGGGAAAAGGAGGGAAAATTGAACGATGGTATGTGTCTAATCCAGACCTTGATGAGGCCCAGAGTGAAGGCACTGAGACCTAAGATGGAATCTAATACCAGAATTTTGAATACGGTCCTGTGGCTGAATAACAATAGTTATCCATATATACATAAAGTGATGGCCATAGATATCTTTAAAGTTCTGGTTATCTGTGTGCTGTGTTTGATAAATACCCCCTATTATATTTGGATTATAATTATTTGAAATAATTGATCTTCTTGCTCAATATTTGTGTTAAAAATTTATTCTGCATTTTGGATGCCAAGAAAGAATAATGGTCACGATTGCTATTATTCAATCACATACTAATAGACTTGAATAGAAGAGTGTGCTCATGTTCTGACTTTCGTATAGCAGTAGCTTACAGGTATTATTGAATTTGACTCATGTACACAAAAGTAAAGGAGAGAAGCTAGCTTAATATGACTTTAACATAATAATATGAATTTAAGATTATAGCAAAATACCTTTAAGTTTTGCAAAGTATTCTGTCAGAATAATTCACACCTTTATTCCCAGCACCAAGAAGGAAGAAGCAGGTGTTTAAGTCTAGCCTGATCTACATAGAGAGTTCTAGGCCAACCAGAAATAGCTAGTTGAAACGTTGTCTCAAAAAAAGAAAGAAAATTCCAGGTTATGAAAATTTTGTACG